TGCTCTAACTCCATCAGGCAGGGCTGAGTTGGGGCTTGTAGTGTAGTGGTACTGTACAGATCAATCTCAGACTCAGGACTGTTGTATGAGGTGAATAGGGAAGGGCCAGTTTTAGGTAAGACTATGGCAACATCTAGAGACCAGATTCAGTTATGGCCACAAGGGTTACAGCCACAGGTAGATGGATGCTACATGAGGTCAAAGAACTCGACTTTCATTCTTGGGAAGTAATTACTGAAACACTCCCTGGAAAGCTGTATCCTTATGAGGTCATGTTAGCTTCTACCCTACTCAGTTTCATTATTTATAAAATTCACATAATTAGACTGTGTCAGGGATTTAAGATGATTTTGTGGTATCAGGACTCCATTAGTAAAGAAGTTCTGAAATAGAACTATTTTGTTATTATAAGAACTTTATTAGGACTTCACTGAGTCCTGCATGGGGTGGCCTCTTCCAAGGACATGTGCTCCTCAGAGTCCCCGGGTGGTTTCAGCAGATGCAGATGTTGTGCCTGGACATGGGGCCAGAGACAGAAAACAGAGTGTCCTGCCCTTGGTCCACTTGTGATCCTGACCTTTCATAACCATAGAATGAATGGTACTTATGTCCAAAGGGGATCTTTGCAGAGAATTTTACCCCAGATCATGTAATCATCTATTTTTATAGAGAGAGAAATTGGATTAATGTGACTGGTTTTTTTCATTATCAGTATTGTACAAAAAAAAAACTAACTCCATGGCCATCTAATTCATTGTTATCACCCCTCTGCATTTGGCCCCAGTATACATTACAGCAATTTGCTTCTTTCTGACTCTGTTAGGGACAGTTTAAAGATCTTGACTGAGTTCTGTGTCTCAGCACTCATGTCACCTCTGCTCTTCTAGATTCCATCAACTTTTAAGTCTAGGACCCATTTATTTATTTTCAGTTCACTCCATTTTACATGATGACTGGTGACAACAACAAAAAATTGAAATCGCTGTCAATGAAATTTGGGTCTCTGTTCCTGTAATTGTGAAAAAGGCTAACAGTATTCACTTTCATGTTTCCTGGTTAAAATTAAAGATAATTCTTTATTGGGATGCAATTATTGGTTACAAGTGTGTAGCTTCTTTTCTCAGCACTGGGGATTGAACCCAGGGGTACTCTCTCACTGAGCTACTCCCCATCCTCCCAGTCTTTTTATTTCACTTTGAGACACGGTCATGCCAAGATGCCCAGGCTGACCTCAAGCCTGCGATTTTCCTGCCTCAGTCTCGAGTAGTTGGCATCACAGGTATGCACCGCAGTGCCTGGTAAGAGTTGAATTTTCTTCAACCGATTTACACAGGTTAAGAATTAGAAAAAAATCATGCCCATTTTCTCAACCGTGCATGTGTCTTGATAACCCTACATAACAAGCACTGCCTACCCAGCAAGCCTGAGTTCCCTCTGAGCTGTTCATAGGATCACAAGTTACAGATCTCACAGCTGTCAGCATCCCATACACAACATGGATACTATTAGCCATAAAAACAATAAAATTCTGTAGTTTCCAGATATGTAGATGGACCTAGAATATGTTATGCTAGGCAAGATTAAGATCTGATTAAGCAGAGAATGACAAACACAGAACAGTCTCACCGACTACAGGAATCTATCCAAGTGGATATAGACTTGGAGAGCAGAATAGTGATCATCAGATACAGGGAGCACAGTAGGGAGGGAGGAGAAAGGGAGGTCAGTCACTAGGAACAGGGCTAAGGTTTGACATG